CCCCGAGTAGCGGGCGGTACCGAGCAGCGGGCCCCGGGCGGTACCGAACCCCGCACACCGGGCGGTACCGAGCAGCGGGCCCCGGGCGGTACCGAACCCCGCACACCGGGCGGTACCGAGCAGCGGGCCCCGGGCGGTACCGAGCCCCGAGTCCCGGGCGGTACCGAGCCCCGCGCCCCGAGCCCGGCCGCGCCGCGTGGTGCTGAACGGACAGCGCCCGCCGCACGCCCCGCGCGCCCGCTCGTGGCCCGGACCCCCCAGCCCGCCCAGTGCCCCCCACATCCTCCCAGTGCCCCTCACCTCCTCCCAGTGCCCCTCACCTTCTCCCGTTATCCCAGTCCTCCCAGTATCCCACCCCTTCTGTGCCCCCTGTCCTCCCAGTGCCCCCCAACTGTCCCCGTCGTCCCAGTGCTCCCACCTCCTCCCATCGCCCCTTTCAATGGGGCTCCCATTGCTTCATTGCAGTGCCCCGGTCCTCCCAATGCCATAATCCTCCCTGTATCCCAGTCCTCCCTTTCTCCCACTCCCCTGGTAGTCCCAGTGTCCCAATCCTGCAGTCTCCCCTATTTTCCCAGGGTCCCCAATCCACCCAGTACCCCCTTTGCCCAGTATCTCCCGTGCTCCCGGTGAGGTCGTGGCAGCATCAGGGGAAGGGGGAAGGAGGCCCGGCCGAGACCATGAGGCTGTATTTATCCATATGACGGGATGGGAGAACGTTGCATTACAAAACGAGGACCAATACATACATACGTACATATATATATAGTATATACACCCACAGGTATATGTGTGAGATTAAATAACCCCAGGACCCCCCCGGGGCTCTCGCTCCCCCCCCCTTAAATACTCCCCAATCCCGAAAGTGGCTCCAATCCAGTCGGACCCTCCCTCCCCGTCGTCCCTGTGTGCCCCCTCCACCCCATCCCAGTATAACCGCGTCTGGCTCCCAGTCGCCCCCACATCCAGTTACTGTCGGAGACTCAGTACTTAGGGGGGGGTCCAAAATAGAAACAAAAATAAAGGGTTTCCCCTGGGATTAGGGGAGGGGGGACGTGTCCCGGGGTGGGGGCCCCGTGACCCGGTGGGTTTGGCCAGTGGCAGTGGGGGGGGGTGTCCCAGCCCCAGAGAAATACTGTGATTTGGGGGTGGGGGGTATTTACAGTTGGTGGCGAGGTGGGGGCTTCGCGGTCCCTCGCCCTCCTCCTGGCGTCGCTTGCCCACCAGAGCGGAAAAGGGACCGACCTGGGGACCCCTCCTCATCCCATAGGAGTCCAGGCCATGGGTCCCTCTTGTCCCCTCTGCCAAGGGAAGGCGAAAGAGCCCTGGGCTAGGGGACACCGGTGGCATCGGCACGGTGGCCTTCCCGTCCGTGCCGTGCAGCCGGGGTGACGGGCAGCCCCGGGCCCCTGGGGGGGGGTCCTTCAGGATCCAGCACCCCCCACCGCGGAGGATGGCGAAGGCAGCGCTTGGCGAAAGGCTGTCGTGTCCTTTAACGTCCAACAGTGGTGGCACTTCGGGGGGTGGCAGGGGGGCAATTTGCCCCCTCCTCAAGGTCGAAGCGTCCTGGGCACCACGTGCCCAACCCGACGTGGGCACCTTGCTCCGGAGCCAGCCCGGTGCCAGCGGGGAGGGCGCCGGGGGGGTCTGGCCAGCACCGTGTCCCAAAGGAACCAGCCCCGCCACGCCGATGCTCCAGGTGAGTCCCAAGAGGAGGAGCTGGGGATGGGGGGGCTCCAGTGCACCCCCTTTGCTCCCCAGTATGGCTCACATTATTTGGGGAGGGGGGGCATTTCTGCCTGCTCCCCCTTCCAGCTTCAARCAAGGGTGCCAGTTCCTATGTCCAGCTGTGTCCAGAGTGGGGTCCGATCGAAGGAGGCTGCGTTTTGGGGAGGGGGAGGTGTGGGGGGGGCCGTGCCCCCCCCATTGGTCCATCATGTCACCACAAGACTCACACCGGACACAGACACGAACGCGGGGTGTCCGCCCCCGCCCCCCGAACGAACACCCCCCCCCGCAAAGACGCACCCCCGGCTGGACACCCCCTCCCCGCTGCTGTCCCTGTGTCCCCGAGGGGTGGGGGGCACCAGGCGGCCGTGCTGGGGGGGGGTCTCATGTCCTCCCCATTGGGGCGAGGGGGGAAGGTGGGGACGGGGCTGGGGGGGGGAAGCCCCTGTCCCCCCCAAAATCGCTGCGGTTTGAGGGTGGTTTTAAGTCGGGTTGGAATTTTTCAGTGTCTGCAGCTTGGCCT